TGTAATCTCAACATTGGTTTACATATATTGTCAATGATTATCTAACTAACTTCTAATTATTTATTCATTGTAACTAACTATCTCCAACTATCAACTAAAACATTATTTATGTGACATTATTTAGCCCAACTTTTTTATTCATTGTAACTAACTATCTCCAACTGTCAACTAAAACATTATTTAGCCTAGCTTCTTCTTTTTTCTAGCTATTTATTCATTTAACTCTTTTCTATAAAAGTTATAATGATTGATTTGGCTAAGAAAAAGACAGAGAAAAACAACTGGGAAGGAGCTTCACTCCATGATCTTCCCTAAACTTTTTATTATTATTATTATTATTGAGTATGCTTACAATAATGGCGCATGTCAATTTATTATACACAAATTAAATATTGAATATATTCATCCTAATATAACAATAAAATCAACAAATGATATATTCTTTAAAGATGTGTTTCCATTTAAAGAAGCATAATAAATTCATTCACTTAAGAGAATGATTAAAGCAAGGTTAAATAGTCATTATCAATTAAAAAATGATGAAGTTGAGCAAAAAAGGATTAAAAAGACAAAAACAATCAAAATATTTGATCTTAATTTTCTAACATACTTGTTAAAAAATAAACCTCAAAGCTACTGTTGAAATAATAAATTGTCCTAAAGTTTCTTATTAACTATGGGATAATCAATAGTGAAATATAATCAATTATATGCAATCATATATAGGAACAAATGAATATTCTATCTAGAAGTAAATCATGGTCATGGTCATGGTTATAATCCAATTTTGGGTTATTCCTAAAAAAATATTTTTTTCAAAATAAAAATAAAAAAATAAAATAAAGGCTGACAATATAGAAAAAAGCAGATCAAGGAGGGCTACAAAAATAGAAAAAAATCAAGTAGCAATTTTTTGAGGAAATTCAAGGCCTAATTGCTTCCCACTATGCCAAAAAATAGAGAAAAACACAAATCCAAGGTCAAATTAAATGATTATTGAATGAATTTGCATAAAAATTAAGTCCAATGATATAATTAAATTTTTAATAAGCCAGTTTGATTTAATCATGTGTCAAATTAAATTTTAATTATGTTTAAAAATTAATTTGGGTATAATTGAAGGAGTTAATTAAGTGCAAAAACTTAATTATACTTTAACTGGGTCAAATTAATTTTATTTTAGACTTAATTGGTGAAAAATTAAGCGTGAGAGCCTAATTTTGGCTTGATTGAGAAGATTGGAATTTTAAGAGATCAAATTTAATTTTTACTAAGTTAATTGATTGAAATTAGAGGCTTAATTGCATTAAATAAAATTTTTTTAGGGTCAGTTAGGGTTCAATTGAAAGTAATTGAAAGAGAGAGGACTGAAATGAACTTTGTCAAACAAGGAATCAACATTATTCATTATCTTTTTTTTTGTTTTGAAAAAGCTTATCTGGTTACCTACTTTGCAACTGTATTTAATATACCTAATATCTACTAAATTTGACAAATCTTATACAAAAATGATCCTCTACACTTTATCTATAACCCCATGTGATCAGTTAAGGCTAAATGACAACACATCATCTCTGGTGACAGTGTAAAGAGACCAACTCAGTCAGCTTTTGTCTGCAGATTTTGCAACTCATGATACCTACTTTGAGCCAATGATTGAGATCTTTCCCAACTGAATTAAGAGCTGAACTTTTTTCCTAGTGTAAACAAGATTGCCCTCTTCCACCAACTTCATGATACCTACTTTGAGCCAATGGTTGAGATCTTTCCCAATTGAATTAAGAGTTGAACTTTTTTCCTAGTGTAAACAAGATTGCCCTCTTCCACCAACTATAAATAGAGGTGGATTTTATGGCCTGATGGAAGGGAAAATCGGGTCCAAAGTCAGCCAAAAAACTAGTTTTTCTGCTAGTTTCTGTAAATTTTATTCTTTCTTTCTTTTTCCTAGTGTAAACAAGATTGCCCTCTCCCACCAACTATAAATAGAGGTGGATGTTATGGCCTGATGGAAAGGAAAATCGGGTCCAAAGTCAGCTAAAAAACTAGTTTTTCTGCTAGTTTCTGCAAATTTTATTCTTTCTTTCCCATCAGCACCACCATTTTCATTTTCTTCATTCTTCAGCACCGGCAACAACAACATCAACACCGTCCTCCACCTTCACAACTGACTTCAACACCATCATTTCCATCAACCTAGCTCCTTACTAGCGGAAGAGTAGCCATTATAACCTAATTCGGTATTAAAATACCCGGTTTTCTCTAAAATATTTCAAAAGATAAAAAAATTTCAAAATATTTTCAAAAACAATATTTGGTTACATACAACCAAATCCTGAAATTTTTCCAAGCATATTTCTCATAAAAAAGTTGCATCTTTTTTCATGTTTAAAAAAAAATCAAAAATGAATATCATAACCAGTTTATGACTATCAATTAGTATTTGACCAACATGTTAAAAATCTTTTTTCAATTTTTTTTTAAATCTAGATGTAGACTTTAATATTTCTGGGGTGAAAAATTATACGATAAAGCACATCATCAAGTATTAAAGATACAAGATGTAAATAAATGCAATGCTAAAATTCAGACTTTAGAAAGGTTAGGATTTAACCCAATAAAATAGAAATTCTCTTATGAAGATAAATCTGTCTTGAGCCTTAGAAAAGATCAACAGATACCCGACTAAAAAAACAATCAAATAACAATATAGCTTACCTTAGGTAGGGTGTACTGGGGGTGATTTGTCTTCTACTTGCACAACCAGTCCCTTACTCAGAATTTTGTAGACCATAGGTTCCTAGTGACCATAATACTAGGTGACAACTCCTGAACCTTAATCATAATTTTATGATTAAATCTAAAACCCTTTCTAACACATAACACCTCACACCGGAGGCACGACAAAAAGCCTCCGTTGTCGCTAGATGATGTCGCATTGGGTCGTACCCTGCGACAGTCATATATGGATCTTAAAAAAAAAAGATGAAAATTATTGAAACTATTGACTTAAATAAAATAAGACTTGTTGCTAAATGATTCAAATAGTAAGAAGATTTGGACTATTTGTCACTATTTATTTATATCAATAGTAACTTTTATATAAACATCAATAGATATCACAACTATTAACAAGCTTAAAATTTATAAAATGGATATAAAAATAACTTTATTAAATAATGACCTTGATAAAGTGATTTATATAAAACAATCTAATAGGTTTGTTGTTAAAGGATAATAAAAAAAAAAGTCTATAAGTTTGTCAAGTTATTTCATGATTTGAAAAAACACCTAAATAATGACTTGAACTAGGTCATGCTATCAAATGATTTATAATCAATAAAATTCATAAATGTGTTTATATAAAAAACACATATAAAGGTGATGTTATTATATGTCTCTTTATAGATAATTTGTTAATTTTATACATCAATGATTACATGAACAAAGATTTTAAGAAAATATTAACTAATAAGTTTGACATAAAAGACTTGAATGTTACATATATCATACTAAGAATAAAAATTAAAATGACATTTGATGGATTTGTATTATCCCAATCTTATTATATTGAGAAAAATTTTGACAAATTTTTTGAAAATAATAATAACATTGTCAAAACACTAATAGACATAAATGTACACTTGTCCAAAAATAAAGATGAAAAAATACATTAATTAAAACATTTTTAGATGATTGATAGCTTGGTGTATGTTATAAACTACATAAAATTAGATATTGCATCTTCAATTAACAAATTGAGTAGGTTTACTAATAATCTAAATATGAATAATTGAAAAGCAATAAATATGGTACTCATATATTTGATATACACCTTGGATTACGAATTATAATATACTAGTTATCTAACAGTATTAGAAGGGTATAGTAATGCAAATCAAATATCTAACCTTAAAGATTTAAAATTTACCTGTAGGTATGGCTTCCTTCTCAATAGAGCAGCCATGTCTTTAAATTTCTCTAAATAAACACTTATCATAAAATTTATAATGAAATTATAGTTTATTACTCACTCATATATTTGATATACACCTTGGATTATGAATTATAATATACTAGTTATTTGACAGTATTAGAAGGGTATAGTAATACAAATCAAATATCTAACCTTAAAATTTAAAATTTACTAGTAGGTATGGCTTCTTTCTTAATAGAGCAGCTATGTCTTCAAATTTCTTTAAATAAACACTTATCATAAAATTTACAATGAAATTATAGTTTATTACTTATAATAAAATTAGAATGACTTTGAAATTTCTTAGAATATATTTATTTAAATTAGTATGAACAATTTATGTCTACCATGACAAATAATGTCTGTTTAAGGCTGTGATTTAATATCATTTTTATGAAAATTTAAAATTTTCTTGTTTTATATTATTTTTTAGTGATTTTAGATTTTTTTACTATAATAATATTAAAAATAAATTTTAAAAAATAAAAAATATTATTTTAATAAATTTTTAAATAAAAAATATTTTAAAAATAATTATAATCATACCCTTAAGTAATTTTTTATTAAATAATTAAAAAAGCTCGAAGGAGCTTGAATAATATATACAACCGGATCTCGAATCTACGTGCTTAGTCCCATACAAGTTTGATAACTATGGTTTGGTATGAACATAGTATATGAACCACAAGCGCATCAACATCCATCCATCCATCAACAACAAAATCACCACACCACACGCCAATCCGTCCGTCCATTCGTTTATCCATAAATAAATAAAAAAATAAAATAAAAACACGGACACTCACCTACACACACTCTTGTTGGTGGCTTTCACTTTTATCTTAAGGTCGCCCTCTCTCTCTCTCTCACACACACACACACAAACTCAAAGCACAGATTCCTTGCTCCACTTCTGCTTTTCTCTTCCTCACTGTTGAGCCTCTCTCTATCCTCTATTCCCGTGCCGTACCTCAAAACAAAGTAATCACTCTCCTCTTCTCTTGTTTTTCTTCTTCTTTTCTTTGGCGGACCTGAACTCTATCTCTAATTATTTAAGATCCAACCTTTGTTGACTCTCTTTCTTAATAATAATAATAGTCTAGATCGTTAAACCTAAAAGGAGAAGTAGCATCTACAAATTGAGAAATCCGTCTCTTGCTTAACACATCTTGAAATTGAATTCTGATTTTTCGGATCCTGATTCGGGTTTGGATGTACAAATGTATGATTTTTGTTAGATTGATTAGTTTCAATTTTTATTTCTTACAAAAGTTGATATGCTGTTTTTTATGTAGTTCTTCTTGTTGCTGATGACCTTGTTGCTTAGTGAAAAGGAAGCGTTTTCTTTTTCATCAGTTGCATGATTTGATTTGATTTAATTGAATTTATGAGGATTTTACTTCACAACACTCCGTTTGGTTGCTGAGAAAACCCAGGAAATGGAAAAGATTACCTTTTTGGTATGATACTGAGGTGTGTAGAAGCCATTTTATATGCTTTAGCTAGTATAAACTGTGAGAGTTGGTAGAGTTGAGAGGATTTTTTGAAAACAATTTATGGGTCTTTGGAAATCTTCTTGTTGTCATGATTATAGACGGGGGATCCAATTCAAGAGGATTCTTTTTAAATTATATTTTATGAAGATATGTTTAATGTTGGTGAGTTTTCTCCAGGGCAATCATGAGCGACAAGGGAGAGAAGACATGCCCATTGTGTGCTGAGGAGATGGATTTGACGGATCAGCAATTGAAGCCATGCAAATGTGGTTATGAGGTTTAAGCTCCGAAATCTTACTTTGTTGTTAATTTTTGTGCGTCAAGGGGCTGTGAACTTTTCCACTTTTTTATTATATTTTGTTCACATCTGTTTTCTTCTCTCTTATTATCACAGATCTGTGTTTGGTGCTGGAACCACATTATGGAAATGGCTGACAAGGATAATTCTGATGGTCGCTGCCCAGCTTGTCGTATACCATACGACAAGGAAAAGATAGTGGGGATGGCATCAAACTGTGAAAGGTTATCATCATGCTTACTTTGCAGTTTCCTTTCTTTGATGCAAATGCCATTTGATGAGTTGTTGATGTTCATAATTCACCGTGCATTCTTTGCTATGCAGGCTAGTGGCTGAAATGAATTCAGAGCGAAAACTGAAGTCCCATAAAGGGAAGCCAAAAACATCTGAAGGGAGGATGCATCTAAGCAATGTTAGAGTCATTCAACGGAATCTAGTGTATATAATTGGATTACCTCTCAATATTGCAGATGAATCCGTGAGTGTTCTTGCATATCTTTTGTGCAACTCATTGCAATTTCAAAGTAGATATAATCCTGTTGTACTTATTCTTAAATTTAAGTTGCTCTTTTTTATATATATCTTGAGAGTCTAAGGTGTATTTTTGCTATCTATCAGCTTCTTCAGCGAAGAGAGTATTTTGGCCAATATGGAAAGGTTCTGAAGGTGTCTATTTCTCGAACTGCAACAGGGGCGATTCAACATTCTGCAAACAACAGCTGTTGTGTGTAAGCTCAATGGCCTTTTTTGTCAAACTTCCTGCCCCTCCCCCACAATCCTAATTGGGGATTCTGTCATATTGTAGCTATTTGATATTTTTTAGTGTTAAAATGGTACCTTTTTTCACTTGTTAGGTATATAACATATGCAAAAGAGGACGAAGCAGTTCGTTGTATTCAATCAGTGCACAGTTTTGTCTTAGAAGGTAGATCCTTGAGGTAAGCATATCTTATTCTTCTTCTGCGTGTTACTTTTTATGTTGATAATCTGATGATTAATAAGAGTTTTCCTATACAGGGCATGTTTTGGAACGACAAAATATTGCCATGCATGGCTGAAAAATATGGTAAGCACACACACAAAAGGTTCTTCCTTTATGAGTCTGTACACCAAGAAATGGGATTCTTATGTTATCTCTGTGACCAATACTTCTATTGGTCCAGCCTTGCAGCATTCCGGACTGTTTATATTTGCATGATTTTGGCTCTGAGGAAGATAGTTTTACAAAAGATGATTTAGTTTCAGCCTTTACAAGGTATTGCTATCTGGTCTTTCATTTTGAATCACAATCCTTTTTAATTTGCTTAAAGGATGTGCGCTAAAGCAACACAATGTACTGATAAGATAATGCTGTCTTTCACTTGGCTCCTGTCCATTGTGAATGTCTTTAATAACAATGATACAAGGGTAGCAAAAGTTTTCTGTTTTCTTTTTACACCTTATTTGTTCTCATCTAGCATGCTTTAAAAAGTTTTCTGTTTTCTTTTTACACCTTAGATGTTCTCATCTAGCATGCTTTAATATCTTTTTTTTTTTTTTTTGGGGGGGGGGGGGTTGAAGGGATCCAGACAGGGTCTCCCCCTATTCTTCAGTTTTCCATCTCTCTTACATTAAATATGTTGCTTTAGAAGACTTGCCTGATACTGTTGGTTCCTCTGCAATTCATATATACCTCTATCTTACTTAAATTGCCTCATTATGGTTTTAAAGGAGTAGAGTACAACAAATTATTGGTGCTACAAATAATTTGCATCGGCGTTCAGGAAATGTTTTGCCACCCCCAGCAGATGAGTGCACTGATAGGAACATATCATTGACAGCCAAACATGATTCCAAAACTTCTACCGTAAGGCTCCACAATATACATTGCCTTTTTGGAAAATTTGGTTATTTTTGGTGATGCGTTCGGGGACTGCATATTCTTGTAGGACTGATAATTATATTCTATAATCTGATGTTATCATTAAGAAGTTAAAATAGGGAATGATCTCCAGTTCAGTAAAGCTCAAATAAATGAAATCTACAAACCATATTGTATTACTGTATTTCACTCCTCCAGTGTGCTCACTAATTGAAATATCCTGACTATTGCTTTCCAGCAGAATAAAATGAACTGGGATAGCAGTTCATGTGTGGAAAGTGGTGCTGGAAGATCCAATACACTACATGGGGCAGCTTCATGGTATGATATCTGTTTCTTATGTGGCATCCTGTATTTTATCTTATGATATGTGGCATTGAGAATTTTATTATATTCCATTTAATGTCTTTTATCAGGGTGACACGTGTCGCTGGCAGTTTGCCACCAGTTACAAGTTTTTCATCGTCAGGTGGAACTCCCAATCATAAACCTGGAACATCACATGGTCCCTGTGCTCTTGCATCAGAAGTTGTGAGCACCAAAAGTTCTGGTGACATAAAAAGAACCATACTTGAAGGAAGCTGTGAAGTGAATCCTGTCAATTTAACATTAATTGACCATTTACCTTGTTCTCCAGCATCTCAGGACAGTGCTGGAGATGCTGCATTGCCATCAGCTGGAACAAGCCCTTCAAAACTCACCAAACCATCATGTATTACCAGTCTGGATGGGGATCTTCAGGGACTGTGTTCTGGGTTATCGTCAATTTGTACTGATGGTAACCTTAAGGATGAGTACCGTGAACCTGTTACTTCAGAAATTTTTATTTCTATTCACAAACCGCCCAAAAGTCAAGTCTCACAACAATTTGTTAGTGAGCCACTTAGCGAGTCTTCATTCTCGCCAACACTGAAAGAATGTGCTATTGTTGAGGATTTACTCTGTTTTGATGATCAGGAAGTCCAGGACTTTGGAAGCATCCATAATCAACCACCCATATCATCCTCACCTTCTTCAAAGCAGCATTTGGAACAGTCCTGGCAGCAAGGCAAGATTCATCAATGCACTGTTGATGTACATCCAAAGATTCTTCCCCCTAAGCATGACGAGGTTGCTTTTCCATTCAGATCAGGCAACACAGTTTTGTCAAACGGATTGCATGGCAGACAAGCTAATGGCCTTACCGAGTGGGATAGATCTTCTAACCATTCTAGTGTCTTGTTAGAGATAGGACCAGGGAAGTGCTTGGAAGAACATGGTAATATGGCCAGTGGTGACTGTAAACTTGATCAAGATACAGATGAGAGCAGCATTATCTCAAATATTTTATCCATGGATTCTGGTGTGTGGGAAGATTCATTGACATCACCTCAGAATTTAGTTAAGTTCCTGGCTGATAATGATACACAACAAAGTTCCCTCAAAAGACCATGCATGCGAAAACCACAGGAGAGTAGTCAATCAAGGTTCTCATTTGCCAGGCAGGATGGTTTCTCCAATCATTTGTCTAATTTTGAACATTCTTTTGAAAATGCAACAAATAAGTCTCCCGTCTCAAATCATATTATTGAAAACAAGGAACCTTGGATGGACCATTACCGTAGTATCTCTTCAAATATTACTTCTGTGGAATCAAATGGTTTTCTCAGCAAGCATCCTTTTACATCTTCTAGCTTTTCTGGTGAGTGCCTCCTAATTTGATATGATGCTTCTTCCTATTTCTTGTAAAGCTGTTCTTTTCATGTTACTGGATGTACTACAGTTAGCCAGTGCAGTATTGTTGCTGTCTTGCTATGCCCCTTGTGCTTGTTCTTGTAAATTTTTACCAAATGTTTTTCTTGCCATTATCTTATACTAGGATAATCCTCTTTTTTTTTTTTTTAATACATGATATGATTCATGACACAGAAGGCGTATTTTTTCTTTATGTATTTGTGAATAATGCTCTGAGTGCAGAAAACCATCTATGATGAAGAGTAATGCTAGGGACATTTCTAAATTCTGTTGCTATCAGCTGTCTTGCTTCGGCCCTTGCGCTTATTCTTGTTAATTTTTACCAAATGTTTTTCATGCCATTATCTTATACTAGGATAAATCTTTTTTTTCTTTCAATATATGATATTTTTATGATACAGAAGGCTTATAATTTCTGTATGGTTGTGTGAATACTGCTGAGTGCAGAAAACCATCTATGATGAAGAGTAATGCTAGGGATACTTCTAAATTCTCTTACTAAATGATGTGTTGTTTTCTTACTGGGCATTCTTGCTAAAGGAATAGGATATGGTTCTATCATTTACGAAAGTTTTTTTAAAATCAATATTTTGTTATTTACTTTTAGGTTAGTTAATTATTCAGTAAGAGATGCATTAAAAAACTCTTTAGTATCTCTAGCATTATTTGTATGTTATCACGTTTTAATTAATTTCCTTGAATAACAAGGAATCTGATTTCTTGATTAGATGTGAAATGATGCATCTCTTTTTTATTGGAAATTTTATCATGTATTCAAAGTTTAAAAGCATTCACATGAGTTACTTTCTTTCCATTTTCCTCTTCTTTTCTATTTTATTCTTTTCTTATTTTTCTTTTGATTGAGGGGAGGATTTTAGCTTAAGCTGTTCTCTAGTGATAAGGTGTTGCTACCAGTTAGGCCATGACTGTCCTGGCCCACAACTGTGTTGGAAGTAGGTAAATAAATTTGATTGGTGATAGGGACATGTAGAGAACTGGAATGTTCTCTACCTTGTCAACAGTTAAGATGGTTTCTGGTTTGGGTATGTATTTTCAAAATAACATCCAACTCTTTATAAAGGGATAGAGTGCCTTCTGGAATATTAACTTCTAGACAATCTTTGAAGTTGGGAGGCTGAAATTGCTATCTAGCCTTTATTAGGGGTGGTTTGTTCTCCATTCACACCACTGTGGGGGGCATGCCTATGATTTAGAAGAAACATGGAACTCGTTTCTGTGCTCTGTTCTTTAGGAGATCTTCTGAATGTTTTAATGGATTAAAGAGTAACTTCTGATATCTAAGATTTTTTATAGTTATGACAACATGGCCATTGAGGCTGACATGATATGGTGGCTTCTGTTTCATACTTGTTGAGGATATTCTATGAAAGGAAATGCCTTTCAAGTTTAATCTCGCTCTCTATGTTTCTGTTCTTTTTGCAAGGCTACATCTTTGCCTGTTATCAATTTGGGTAGGGTAGGTGTGTTAGTTTCTTTTTCAGATTTTGAGATTCTGATTAATTTTAGAGACATGGGCTATTGAAGGTAAAATTTTGACATGTGAGAATGGTGTCCTTTAGATTGAACAAGCAATTCCATTGATCTTTAGAGAGTCAGAGCTGGAGTTGACAAAGTGAGAGTAGTGATGTTGCTTTGTCATATCCTCAGTACAGTTACTCTAGTTCTTATGAACATCGTGGAAAGTTATCTTGGAAGGTTTTCCATATAGTTTTTATTTATATTTGGAAATGCCAAAATGCCTGGATTCTCATAGCTTGTTCCATCAGTTATGTGAAGTTTTCTTAGCATTTTATGACAAATTAAAATAAATAAAAAACTCTTTAGTAATTTTATGAATTGTGATTTCCCTTGAATTCCAATCACATGTTTCACAGAGACTGGGATGATAACATCTATTATTTTGGTAATCTTATGAATCTTCTTAACTATTCTCCTTACTTTTTTCATACTGCAATGCACAAACAGTTTCCAAAACTTCCACTTCTCCCCCTCCAGGATTCTCGGTGCCAAGCAGAGCTGTGCCTCCAGGCTTTCTTACTCATGGGGCAGTACACTATGATTTTGACCATTCTGGTTTGTTATTTATAATTTATAATGGTTTATTCCTTTTTGTCGTCTTTCTCTTTATTGAATTTTAATATTTCTTCTCATTCTTCAGCAAATCATTTTCTACAAAACTCTGCTCCACTATCTAGGAATATTGGCATCTCCGGGGATGTTGAATTTATTGATCCTGCAATAATGGAAGGTGGGAAAGGATTTCTGTCAGCAAGGCTGAGTAATCCAGGCTTTGATGCAAAACCAGCTTGCCCCCCCCAGTTTAGTCCTTTTGATCATGATTCAGAGCTTCAAATGCTGATGCGGCAATCAATTTCTGCTCAGCAGAACCCCAGGTTGTCAGATCAGTTAAGGAATAGATTCTCTCCACCAGATGATGCTTACACCATTTCACCTATGTTTCTTGGTCAATCTCCACCCAACAAATTATCATCATTTACACAATTGACAGCTCAACAGCTTAGGAATATGCACATGTCAAATGGCAGTTTGGGTGGTGGTTGGAATGAGGTAAAAAACGTCAGTGATCCTTGTTTGCCAGAATTCCTGGGAAATGGAGGGTTGGGATTTAGCAAATTTGTTCCTAGCTATGAGGATTTGAAGTATCAAATGTCTGGTTCCAGCAATCTATACAACAGAGGATTTGCAATGTGATATCTGTGGAATTGGAATTGCTCCTTAATACTTGAATGGGCTGATGAGCATAACAGAGTGATTGATTTGGTGGCTTCTAAGGTGCCCTCAGATGAATATACTATGGTTTGGATTTATAGTCTCGTTGCATATTGGTGGTTGGCAACCCTAATCCGGTGCATTCTTTGCCCCCCCTCATTAACAGGAACTTTTGTCTTCTATCAGAGCGATTGAAAAGGCAGTTTATCATCATGGAAGAATTCAATGTGTGCTCCAAGAGATTACTGTGCTGTTAGTGGTTTACTTATAGGACTGAGATAGCTCTTGGCTTCACTCTGCGTGGTACATTTGAGCTGCATGGTGGTTCCATTTAATGCAGATGCATGTTCATTCCATGCATTATTGACGTCAATCTTTTCTACATGAAGAGAAGGTGAATGGCGAAAGACCTCTTGTGTGCTTGTGTATTCAATTTCCCTTCTCGCTTGTTTCACCGTGGACTCATCAATATGCATTGAATACTATATGATGTTCTTGTTCTACTTCTCTTTCTGTTTGCAGGTTAGCTGGGAAAGGAACACTGTTTTTAGCCACGCACATTTTGGCAGCTTTGTAGACAAGGAGTGAGAATCTGCCATGCTCACCCATTGCATGAAGAGTGAAGGTATTTGGTAGTTGCGCCTCGTTAAGTTATGCTCACGATCCTAACTGATAGGCCCACAGCTAGAGTTCAAATGGAAAACCAAGGCTTCCTATAGATAAGAGAAAAACGAAGGTCGTCCTCTCCTCCTTTCTTTCCTCCTGCCTTTGTATTAAGATGCTGTCATTTATGAATGAAAACAAAGCTTAAACAATCCTCTCGTTTCTTTCTCCTCACAGAATGAATTGTTACGATGAATCTCCTTGCTCTTTGCTTTATGAGAGAGGAAACTACGAGAAGCCATTTTCAACAGTTTATAGCTTGTATATTTTTTTGTCAACATTGCTTTTTAAGCGCACAGCATATTACGGAATGAACAAATGTTTTGAGTTGTTTCCAAGAGATTGTCGTCAAATATTGCCGAGTTTCACATTCTACTCCCCATTGAAATTCGTTTACACCTTTGTTAATGGCAGATGGAGACACCACGGGTGTTTGGAATGTAGCTCAAGGCCACGAACCTGCTACTCTGTGTTCCAATCCTCAACTCCAAAGTCCCTTTTGCACGGCTTTGGTCGATTTTGGGATTTTCCTCTTCGTCTTTACAAAAAGCAATTTCATGTTTGCCCGTGAAATTGTCCAGCAACCCAATGCGTCGAAGATATTCGATGCTGGGTTTATTTTTGGGTCATTTTTTGAAAATAGCACCACCTTCAGAAGAAGAAGAAAAGAGTGGAAACTATCATGGCTTTGAAAAAGTTTCAGAAAACATGGGAATAATGTAGTCTACAATTGTTTTTTTGTTAATTTTGTTATTAAAATGTATATGATGACCATGAATTTAAATCTCAACCATACCCTTTTTAGAAAAAAAAAATAATTTCCTTGTAATCATGTAACTGATAAAAAGAATTTATTTGTTTTTATTTTTAATATATATCTATCTTGTAAGCATACGATTGCGAGAAATTGTTAATATCCGGAGTTATTCTATGTTTTGCCAAAAAACAATCCCAGCCTTTATTATTGATGATGAGGAGAGAAATGGTAAAATACTCTTTTTTCGCAGAAATGCTTCTGAAGCATTAATGGCTTCATGAATCGTTTTATCGTGACCAAAACAGCGACACGGAGACGTGGACATCACATGGATTGAATGGCTAACGAAGACTAAATTTTATAATGCTTGTGAGTTTAATTAGTGATATTTTATTAGTTATTTTATATATATATATATATATATATAGAAAGATAAAAAAATTGCAATAGCCTAAACAATGTCAGACGACCACTTTAGATATGTTGAAAACCATAAAAGTTCTGGAAAAACCAGATGATTTTTTAAATATTATTTTAATAATTTTATTTAAAGTGAATTTTATTATAAAATAAAAAATAAAAAAATTAAATAAAAAAATAAGATGAAGATGAAGATGAAGTGCTTTTGGGCTTGGAAGACTAAGCTCGCGCATCTAGAATATATATCTATATATATAACATGTAAACTAATTTTTTAATTTATATAAGATATTTATCATGATATATAAAAATAAAATTATATATTATAACAAAGTAGGGAATGACCTGTCTCTAACATGACAAAAAATTATCTAGATACAATTATGTTTGGCAAACCATTTTTTTTTTTAATTGTGAATCACTTTAAAAAGTTTCTCTTCCTTGAAATAACTTATTTGTATATTTATGTGTATCTTTGTTCACGTAATTTTTTTCTTTAATAAAAACTTGTTATGACTTGAAAAGTAGATTCAAATAAAAAAGTAAAATAATCATGTTTGATAATTTTTATGCTATTGAATTAAAAAAATAAAGGAATAATTAATTTGAAAATTGTATAAAAAATTACTGAACATCTATTAGGAAATGTTTTTTTTTTGCATATTATTTTTTTATATAATCATTTATAAAGTAAGTAGTTTTATATATAATAATTCTTATTGTTTTAATTGTTTTTTTTTATGGTTTGATTTTTTCAAATAATTTTTTATTTTTTAAATTTAATCAAGCTTTTGGTTTATTTATAACCCTTACTAAAAAGTTATAATTAACTATAACTAAAAGGAATCCAGAATTTACTGTAGAGAGATACTGTATGATTGTAAGTATTTTCACTGTGAATTATACTGTTTAATACTGTAGAGTAAATTATTGTAGATTATAAGTGCTTTCATTGTAGATTGCACTATTTGAGTTTGTTCTATGCGCACTTTGGGTTGAGAGGGTGTCATGACAGGGCTACCCTTATCACATAGAGTTATAAAGATTGTAAAGTTGGTGAAGTTGTCTTTTTGGTTGAGAAGAAAATGATCCGTTTGTATTTTGATGGGGTTGCACAACCCACGCTACAGTTATATAGCACTTGCCTTCATGCCATGATGCTAGGGCTAAACCCAAGTACCTGATAGCAACTCAAGTAACAAACACCTGGCGCTAGAGCCAGTAAGTGTGCCTGGTAGCAGCATCAGGATACAGATACTTGGCACTAGAACTGTCAGGCCCTGAGCTTTAGATAAACCCACACGCCTTGCTGAAAACTCAACGAGTAGGTTTATAGACTCTCATGCATGGATCTGCAGACCAATATGTTGGGTTTAGACCCAAGAAAGTAGTTCTACAAACTTGTGAATCGAGGGTCTGCAGCCTAATGTGCTTGACTTTGCAAACTTGGGTAGTGGGTGGAGACCCGCACACCAGGGTCTCTTTTGACTCGCGCCTTAGGTTTGCAAACCCGGGTGGCTAGGTCTACAGGCCCTACAAAGAAGAAAAATAAATAAAAAATATATTATCAATTATTATTATTATTATTATCATCTAAATCTTATTATCAAAACTTTGGTAAGACAAGTTCAATAATCAAAACTTTAGCCAGATAAGTTTAATACTATTATTCATATGATAAATATTATTAGTTGTATTCTAAATATTATTATTTTTATTATAATTAAAAGTATTAGTATTAAAAATATTATTATTGTGATATAAATATTATGATTTTTATTATACTTAATATTATTCATGTAATAATTAAGAAATTTGTAGAAAATATTATTAATATTGAAAAATAATAATAGATTTCATTTGAAGAGTAAAATTAAGAATTATTATTACTATTGTTATTATTGTTATTTTCATTATTAGATTTTAAAAAATTATTACTACCATCGAAGAAAAACATAATTTTTTTTAACAATATTGAAAAATATAAGATTTGGTCAGATAAGTTAAATATTATTATTAATATTATAAATATTATCAAATTCATTAATATTATGAAAATTAAAATAAATATTATTGCTATAGAAAAAAAACATAGATTTGATTTTAAGAGTAAAATCAATTATTATTATTATTGTTGTTGTTGTTGTTATTATTGTTTATGTTTTTTCTTTACTTAAAATTAATATTTTTTTTAATTCATATTAAGATGTTCTTGTATTATTTTGATGTGATTATATAAAAAATAGATTTTAAAAAAATTATCTCAATATATTATTTTTAAAATATTTTAAGATATTTCCAATTTTATTTTTTTCTCTCTTGAATTTTTCTTTTCTCTTATTGATTTTGTTTCATATTGTAAAGAGTGAATAAATTAATGTGACTTTTCTTCATATTATACAAAAGTAGGGAGGCTTTTTTTTTTTCTTTTTAGGTTGGGTTGAATTTTCTCATTAAAGCATGTTTGATTTTGTATTTCAAAAATACTTTGAAAAAAACTTGAAAATTTTTCATTGTTTTCTTTCCTTCAAGTTAATATTTTTGATGTTGCTGTATTTTTTTAATTTTATTTTTAAATATATTGAGACTAGGTCTGGCTGAATAGCCACATCCAAGAAAAAAAATAGATTTCAAAATAGCTTCTAGTCCAGCAGTCACTGGACCTATTAACCTTGGGTCTTACTGTGGCTAGACCTATTAGCCTTGGCTTTGTGAGCAGAACCCATCAACGTAGTTTTGTTTCTAGCGTAACCCATTAGCATTGGGTCTTATTTCTAGCAAAACCCATTAATAATTTTTTTTCAATTTTTTTTCTTATGTAATTTTTTTTTCATATAGTAAAGAAAAAATAAATTAATGCGAGCTTTTTATATTGTTTTAAAGTTAAGTGATCGTAATTGTTTTTTCATTTGAGATTATGTTGAATTTTTTTCATTAAGACAAGTTTGTTTTTACATTTAAAAAATTCTTTGAGAAAGTTTTCAAATTTTTTAATTTTTTTTTAATATTATTATATTAAAGTTGATGGAGCTCTCAATAAATTTTTATTCACATCATATACTTTATATATTTGTATTATATAAGAGAATTTTTTAATAGTAAAATAATTTATAAATATTATAATATAATATTTTTATTTTATAATATTAATATATGAGATTCAAAATTTTATCAATGTTTTATTATCTTTAGATTTTTTATTCAATAGTTTTGAATTAAATACATAAATAAATTATATGTTAAGTTCTATTGGGGGTATGATTTAAAATAGCTTTGGATCCGGCTATACAACACGACTTACTAAGTTTGATGACCTAAAAGTACTAAGCTGAGACCCAATTCTCTTAGGTCCTACATCAGGACCCATGCCTTTTATTATAATTAAAAGTATTAAAAAATATTTTTATTTGTGTTATAAAAATCATTTTTTTTATTATTAATAAAATAATTAATAAAGTAAAAATATTCTTATTTGTATTATAAATATTTCTATTTTTATTATAATTAATGTTATTGCTATTAAAATATTATTATTTGAATTAAAAATATTAGTATTGTCGTCGTCGTCGTCGTCGTCATCATCATCATCATCATCATTCTCATAGGTCTTCTGTCAAGACCTATTAGATTTGGATCCTCCCATTCTTTGGGATCCGAAGTATCTAATTTTCTTAGGTCATATGCCAAGATCAATTTCTCTTAGGTTCAGTGTTAGGATTCAAGATTCTTGGGTCTTAGGTTTTTCGTGTTATTATTATTATTATTATTTATATAATTAAAAGTGTTAATATAAAAAATATAATTATTTATATTATAAATATAATTATTTTTTATAATTAAAATTATTAATATTAAAACAAATTCTCTTGGGTCAGGTATCATAACTCAATTCTCTTGGGTCCTGCATCTAAACTGATTTTTCTTAGGTCTAGTGTTAAGACCTATGATTCTTGCACTGTGGATGAAACTATAGCC